TCTCAATAGTTTCTCAATAAGATTTCACGATTGTAGTCGGATAGACTTTAAACCTTTGCCGTAAATCAACCCCATAATAGATAGAAAGACTTGCCTCCTACTAATGACCAAATGAAGTGAGTTTCCCATTTCAATAATATACACGATTGAAGTCGACTTATGAAGGGAGAGCGTTACGAGGGATTAACGCCATAAAACAGTTTCGAATTTCCAGAAGTTCGCACGGCTACATTGGATTTGGCTGAATCCCTATAGATACACGGCAGAAAATTAAAACAGTTGGGTTGTCATGGTGTTTTTGTGACAGGTACAGTAGGTAGACAGACTTCCCGGCGAGAACGATTTACATTTTGTCAAAGAATAGAGGAGCTCTGGGCTACTGAAATAAATTGCTGTAACTATAGGCAATACTATCTCACATTTTTCAATAATGAAAGGTAGAATCATGTTATGATTTTAACAATCCTTGAATGAAATATTGTCCAAAAGTGAAAGCAAAAATAGTATTACAGATCGTTATCGATTATACTGCAATGTTCTAAATTTAAACCAAAACTCAGGTAAAATTCGTTTGACAAAACACAAGATGAGACATTTTTAAGGAATATTCAGAAATTAATGACATAATAACCTTATCCCCCTTATTTTGGTACTTTCATTCATATAACTGAATGATTTACAAAGAGTTAAAAGTCCATCCTGTTGAATGTTTTCCTTGTTTGCCAGTCCTGTCTGAAATGTACATACTAGAATAAAATGGTGGAGTCAAAGACGGTGTTCATATGCACGTGCCTAATTGTAGTTACATTCCAATGTACCCCATAATCTACACAGATCATGAATTTTAATTTATAAATTTTGTAAATTATTCATTATTTTTACAATATCAATATATGATTTTAAATTAGTGCAAGATAAGCCAAGGATTAGGTATCAACTATATCTGGATAATTTTAAAAATTATTATATTATCTTAATCGTAAATCAGCCGAAATTAAACATAAAAAGACTGTAAGAACTAGGAATATATTTCTTAATTTGTAAATGGAAAATATACAATTCCTGTGAGAAAAAAAATGTTTGAAAATAATTTTTTGAACACCTCTCCCTCCATTCCTTTCCTACAGTCACCTATTTCTCTCTGGTCTGAAATGACCCTTTTATGCGATACTAAAATAAAGAAAGGAGAAGGGGACCTCTTAGAAAAAACGAATGGTTTGTAAGCGTTTTTGTGACTATGATTGACAGTTCCGGTTTTCTGGTTTTGTGTCTGTGTCTGTCGTACAAGTATTGGGTTTGCGCGCGGGGTGGAGAACCCAAACTTTGACAGCATTATCAAGTGGAGCTAAAAAACATTTCAATGCCGGGGTCCGTCGGGGTTCAATGCTTATTGTTTGTTTGGGGGTTAAATTAATGTCAAATTCTTCAAAACATATTGTTGATTTTTTTCCATAAATTATGAATAAAACTTGGGTGATACTTGAACGAAGAGGTACGGAATTCCAGTATGCAAATGCTTTTAAACAAGTTAAAAATAAAGAATCTATCATTTTTCATAGATATTTTTCCGAGTAAAATTTATCGTTTATTTTCAATATTTTTCCGTAAATATCAATAAAATGGATAAATCAATGAATATCATATCTAAGTAGTTTTGATCTGTGTTTTTTAAAATATATAAATAAACACACTACTTTGAAAAATCGTTAAGTTGTGTATATTATAATTTTCCTGGGTGTGTTTTTATTAGTTTATTCATTTTTCTCGGTTGTTTGGTTTTGCATGTTTATTTGTTTTTGTTTTGTTTTGTTTTTTTGCTTTTTGTTTTGTTTTTATTTTTGGTGGAACAGGATCATCAATAAATCTCGGGTAATCGAAACATTTTGGGGATGTTTGTATTTAAAAAATAAAAACTTTAATAAATATTTTTTTTTTGAAATTTTCTGGAAAAGAAATACGGTTATTCTTTTATTCCTGTTTATCAACTTCTTTCTAACTATTGATTTTTTTTTCTTGAAAAAAAATCTTATATATCAACTTCTTTCTATTAATATTATTATTTTAATTTACAAATAATAATTCATTTCAGTTGATATTCAAATATTTCTAATATTTTTTATCTATCTCTATATCTTTTGTTATGTTTTTCGGGGAGGAGTTATGCAAATGTGTCATTAACAGGAACAAGTAACAAAAATATAGCAATTATTCATAAGCTTAGGAAAAAATTGAAGTGCATGAGGTTGTATTAGACAGCATATCATTTACACACATTGAACTCTGAAAGAATACCCGATTTTTATTTTATCATTTTTTTTATTATTTATTATGTTTTTGGTTAATGAAAAATATCTTTTTTTAAGATAGAAAATAAGCGTGAAACGGACATCCAAGAGTTTTCAGGAGGAAAATAAAAAAAAAATGTATTGAAATTAGTTTTTTAAAAATACTTTTTAGAATGCCTTTTTAAATGATATGTTTTTATTTAAAAAATAAAAATAATTATATATTTTTCTTTTTTGAAATAAAATTTCATGCCATCAGGTGTCTCAACTAATAAAAACAAGTAAATAATTTTTTTTAACATCAGACAAAACTACTTAATAAAATAAAAGAGGTGAAATTAACAAGAGTTAAACAAATTGGAATAATTCGTGACACTTTTCCATTATTCTTGATCGCACAGTAACCCTCTGATCAGATATATTTCGGGGTATCTACGGAGACATTCGGAAGGTCTCGCCCCTACACCTTTCCCCTTGCACGACCCCAAAGCTGTCAGATTCCTTGGTTTCTATTTCTTTGAGGCGATCTAAACTGGGCTTATAATAAATATATCAAATTCCCTTCGTCGACTTCGCTATTGTTACGAATCCAGTTTATTTAGTGGGGACACGATACGGCCATGGGGAGGAAAAGAGGGCACACAAGCTTGAAATAATAATTCGATTGAATTGCTTGTTTAGATTTCTTCTCAATGATGCTCTAAAAATATTGCTCAGAGAGAGAGAGAAAGGGAGAGAGAGAGAATTTCTGAACTTTTACTTAAAGATATTTTAACTATTAATATAGTAAGTATTAAAAAATATATAACCTATATTAATTGGAAAAGAAACAAAAAACAAATAAAAATGAAGATGACGGTACGTATGAATTATTTCTTAAATATATATACTTGTAAGTGATATTTTAAAGTTTTGTAGTAAATAACAATCACGTGAACTTCAAATGAAAGAAAATTGACCGTAGGTTTAATTTTATGTAACTGAATTCATATTTTCTTTTGAAATAAATACGAAAAATTTACAAGTATACGTACATATACATGTATGTACTAGATATAAGGCAGGTTAAAAAGCCGATACAAATCCTCCTTTCAATAAATATAATATAAAACATTTAAACAACAGATTTCTGTACTAACAGTCTAACAAAAATAGCCTTTTTTTATGGTAGGAAATGGTTTTAAACAGTTTGAGGTTAACAAAAATATTTAACCAAGATCGACTTCAATGTTTTGAATAAAAATGCCATCAGCAATTTTTTTTTATGTTATACGCATCTTATATTGATTAATTGAAATGTAAAATTATATCCTTGCCAATTTTTTTAATTTATAAATTGATATCTCTTACTTTTTAGTTTATTTTCTTCATACACTATTTTTTATTTACTATACGGGTTTAAATTGATTTCATTTTATAAACAACACATCAAACTGGATGTTATTGCATCATCCATAGGAACGTTCAAAATGCAAATACTGTAACAAAAATACACTCATCATATAAGAAATAATTATTCCTCTGAAATTTCCTCGGGTCGTGGTATATCCAATGAAGATTTTTACATCACCACAGAATTAAAAAATAAAAATCCAGAAAACCATAAACAGAGCGCTCTGTATCCGAAAACAAAATATATAATCTAGAAACACCACATATACACATAAATTCCGTGTGTATCTATCGAATTTTGGTCACCAAATGATTTTGTGGCAATGAATTCTTGAAATAAGAAAACGAGAGAAAATGACAAACGACTCTCGTAATATTAATTTATCACCAAGCACCGGCGATGTCAGCTCATCTATTCCCAGTGTAAAAACTTCTTCAAATTCAACCTGGAAAGTTGCCCCCATGAATCGGCAAGTAATTTGCAGGCAATCCCGTTAATGATGTTTGCCATTAATTTCTCCTTTTTTATCAGTCGTTCAGATCTGCATTGAAAATGTGATACCTTCTTCACACTGATACCCGAATAGGACAATGTAGACAATATTTTAAAAGCTTTTTTCTCTCTCTGTCTCAAACATAAATCAAGAACATTGACAGATTAGTTATTTTGAATCAGTCAGTGTGTGGTGTGCCATATCAGTCTTGTAGGTCTTTTTTAAAAAACAAACAACAAACACACATACCCTCACATAAACACTAGAGAATGAGAGAGAGAGAGAAAGAGAGAGAGAATTTCTCAATTACAACTCAATTGCAATTAAATTTCATACTCTATGACTGGTAAACTTATTTTTATTCAGGCCAAAGCTAACATCTACATGCTTATCTTTCTTGTGTTTCTCTGGGAGTCATTAGTGACCAATTCCTGGTTTCAGTAGAGGATTCGGCATGTCAATCGTCTCTGTTCCATGGACATGTGTACCCCTTCCTTGTTTTATATCTCAGTGTTCTCGTCAATGTGTTCAGATGACTGTTCGTTCTTGTATTAGATGCAGACACACTGACACGGTTAATGAAAGTTCTTTTGTTAGGAGGTTTTTTTTGGAATTCCTTCATTTGTTTTGCTATTTGCTTGGCAGGCAAAGATTCAGGTTTTGTTACGTAAATCAACACTCTTATTTCTCTTTTTTTATAATATTTTCTTTTAAATCTAGAAATCCTTGATTTATTTTTATCTTCTATAAGTTTTCTTTTTTGCCTCTTATTTACATAAAATTATAAAAAGGGTAAAATTTGGAATTCTGGATTTTATTTCATTTGCAGGAAAATGATACGTTGCTAGACATTGAGGTATTGTGGTAAACTTCGAAAACGATTGTTTGGAGGCGTTCTCGTTGGCGAATGGTCGCAGTTTCTTGAAACCATATCCAAATAAAAATACAATAGTTCGAATGTTGTACACCTGGGAACAAAGCATTAACGTGGAGCATTCCTAGCGCACCTTTTCATCAAAAGGTAAGTTTTTAGTTTAATTTATCAAAGTTTTCCCACGATTGTCAAGGCCACCTTCACGTGCGAGATCTCTACTGGCATTGCCTTAACTTTGCTGTACAGTTGTAAGTGTCTAGATAAGTGAATTACCTCCGTCTATTGCCCCATAACTTTACTTAAAGTTCATTTCTTTAGCTCACTCAGCAATCGGAATGTTTTGATGTTAGACTTCGGATATCATCCATTGTAATTGCAGAATACCGTGAAATTCTATGAGAGTCTTTGGATTACTTGTGTATCTTACTTCCAGAAAAACAAAAAGATCAATTATCTAATAATATTTTCATTTACACGTGTATTTATGTTTGTGAAGATAATTGGCAATCAACATGCATAATGTAATTTTTAATTATATGCCATAAAATTTAACATTTTTCTTCATGAAATACAAGTAAATATAACTCTTAGACTAAAACAGAATTTTAGGACTACGTTTTCAAAATCGAAATTATAGCAAAATATCAAGAAGCAAACAGCTGTATGTAAATATATGCAATATGCATAACAACTTCAACTTTGATCCAGTTTAAAGTGGTCGCCCTTTTCCAGTGATATACCCGGTGGCATGGCAAAGAACCATTTTGTTTGTTGAGACCCAAATTGATTTTTTTCTTCTATGGCTTTTCATTTATTGTCTCAAGAAAGAAATATTTGAAATCCTTTAAAAAAGATAAAAGGGCAGATGTCAACAGATATGAAGTTTATCAAACTGCGGTTACAGAGTCATTTTTTTCTCTCTAAACCTCTGTATTATAAGTAATTCACCGGAGATGTTTGATGTGTCTCTATGGGGGTTCTTCTTTCTATAGACACCCGGGAGGCGAATCAGATATTTATGGGTCTTCGGTGACACTTTCTTCGGTATATATGATATATGTTTTTCTATCAAACGCGAAATGACAGGAAATCATACGTTATTAGAAATCCTACCAATATCTTGTTCGCGTGATCAATACCACAGGAAAAGTCCACCGGAAATCCTCTGAATATCAGGCAGTTGTAGGCACAACCTATAAGGACTCGTTACAAAAATCATATGCAGACTTTTTTGCATTTCTTTTGTCTTCATGTCGTCCTGAGAATGAAGACGATGCAAAAAGTGATAGATGACTTCGTTCTCTACAGTTGAATGCGTAGCGTCATCCTGTTTGGTGCGTTGTCGGGTTACCAAAGAGGCGCAGTGATTCTTACAGAGAGAGGATGTACAGGAAGTTAATTTAATTCATTGAATACAGATCCCGACTTTTGTTTGGTTGGGCTGTTAAGATCAATTCTGTCCCTATCTCATACCAAACTTAGATACTTAAACAGATGCCACAGTATTGACAGTGATTAATGGACAAAATATCGATACCAAAACCACCGAACTTCAAGATTTAGTGGAAGCGCAAGATCTCATTTCCAAGTCTTTTTATCCGCGAAAGATAATTACGCAAATTCAATCACACCAAGTAAAATCCTGCCATTCCAAATAAGACTAAAAATAACATATATTTTTATCATTAAATATGACATTCCAAGTAAGTTATTGTTGAAGAATTCTTACTGAATGAGTCATAAGCAACATAAACCGTACTGGTGAATGATAATATGAATATTAAAAACAGATTCCATGTGTAAAACCTATTTTTGTATTCATATGAAGCATGCAGAATTTGTTCAACAACTTTTACGTGAAAAGAAGGAAACACTTGCAGTGGCCTTCATATCTCGACCGTGTATTGTCAATTAATACAGGGTAGTTATTTAATTCTTATGTCGACACGATACATCCCGGTGAGCTTGAACCTAAAGATACCACAGAGTCTCACTTATCTGTTTCATATTTGGATCTTTTACAAGAAAAATACTTTGTTATCTAACAACAAAGCTTTATGATAAACATGATGACATGATAACTTTTCTATCGTCAACTTCCCTTACTTATGCAGCAATATACCTTCATTACCTGCATATGGGGTTTATATCTCTCAGTTGATTCGATAAGTAAGAGCATGCTCTACGTATGTACAATGACTTAAACGAGGTAAATTATTGACAAACAAGTTGATGAAGCAAGAATATCAGCAGTTTTGTTTTTTTTTTGTCATCATTTTGTACGTTATATAGTCGATACAATGACCTTGTCAGAAAATACAGTTTATCATTTAGACACATGATGAACGACTTTTTCCATACTGATTGGTAGGCCATTTACACACTGAGTTGTCCACGATTTTTTCACGTTATTTTCCGATTATGACAAGGAGCACACGGCGGGTGTGACCGTTCGGCAGGACATGCTCACTCCTCCATGGCCCTTGATCCCAACTCTTATGTTTTGGAGGTCCGTGTTTGCTCCGCTCCTTTTTCGTAATGTTTGATGGATTTACGAGCTCGAATACTGTTCGTTATCTTCTTATATTTCATTTTTAAAGTTAACCACTGAATATCTATATTAAACTGGATTCGTAATAAATTGGGTTTTTTGTAATGCAAACCTTATACTGGATAAAAATCTGAGAAATAAAAAATAACATATGTATAAAAAGAATATATGATCTATAAAAATGATCGATCTTTTAAATGTAAAATGAGAGTAAAACAATTGCTAAACAATTAGCATGAAATATCATTATCATTTCTGTCATAGAAAGAATTCAATTGTTGTTACAATGCCACAAAAAGGTTATATAGATAATATGACGATGGGCTTACATTCATAGAAAGATTGTTTTACTTTAGGCATTGTTTTGTAATTCAGCAGAAAAATAGGTTACATAAAAAGAAGCTTATAAAATTTTCATAAGGAATTGTGTTTTATCAAATATCGAAAAGTTCCCACATTAACATGACCATCTCAAAACCAGAGTGCAAGGAGAGTAGTGAAAAAAATAAAACAAAAAATCTCCTAGATCTGACAGGTTTCTCTCGGCTTGTCTTACAACTCTAGAAGACAGATGCATTTGACACGCGGAGATTACCGCTGATGTCCGGATGCGGTTATCGTACCTGTTATCAATTTACCATGTATTTCACACATATTATATTGTAACAAAACACCCATATCGCAGGAACAGGGCCTCATTCTACAGTTTGATTTGTCTGAATGTTGACATCCTAAGTGAAATACGTGAACTTGAATTTAGTGTAGGATTTAAAGTAATACCCTCCCTTGACTTTTTAAGAATATCATATTCAGATGCATTCCACACAAATATTGTTTGAGAAATTCGATTATTTTTCTTGGTTGTGTTTTAAATGCACTGGATTCCTGTGTTTATTCGCTTTTTAAAACATTTATTAGGAATGACAGTTGGAGGTGAGGGTTTTCAACAAGTCGTAATGTTAGACTATTGATAAATATTTACCCAGACAGTAAATCCAACCCTCAACAAGAAGAAACCCTCTGTACAATGTTACACGACCATGCAAAAGCAGGGTTTCTGTTACAGAGAAGGCACACCACAAAATTAATAACCGCCTTTTGTCAAATTCGATTTAAAAGTTTTTGTACAGGGTGGGCGTCAAACGTTAAAATTTGTTTCTCACATAATCATATAATACGAAATACCCCTTTATTGCCGTGTAATATTGAAAAAATGATTCATATTGTTGGAATTTCTGGTGAGAAATACAAGAACTGTCATTTTTATATTAGCATTATTTTTTTATTTGAATGACTAATCATATTAAATAAAAATTTTGGCTGTCATATTGTTTTTGGGGAAAATCTATAAGGAAACTTTGAAATGATTTTTCTTTATTGTCGTCCAGTAAAAAATAAGTTTTCTACATATCAGAAAATATATATTAATTTTTGATAATTCAGTGGGTTTCCTAGACTGTGACATCAGGGATTAAGTTACAAAAAATTAAATTAAAAGTACCATTTTAATGTAAATAGAATTTCATATTTCTTGTAATACTAGTAAATCTGTGTTTGCGTACTATTTGGTGAAAGATAGTATTCTTTTATATGTAGTTTATGATGAATTTAGCAAGACCTCTCTTTAAAAAAGTTACATTCTGTTCTGTTGATTTTGGCTCAGGGCTGGTTTAGTATTCAAACAGTAACAATTAAACCAAAGCTTCTTAGTCGACAGAATTCGTGATATGTCCTAACATCTCCACTGATTGGTTCTCCCTAAGTTCTGATGATCTGCAGTAGTGGTCTTAGAGAGTTCGCGAAAACCAAGAATTACAATCACAAAAACAAATGTTTACAAATCTCTCAGGCTCAAAAAGGATTTTTCTCTTTGATAAAAAAGTTAAAAGAAACAAGCGTTTAGTGAGAAAAACCAGGAACGCGATCTATTTCACAGGCTGAGCTGGATCCGGGGAAACTTGTCTTTTTTATGCGTTTTGCTTCGTGCTGGGAATCAATGTGTTTTGCCTTACGGAGTATCAAATTTAATCTTGTACAACTTCTTTCAGAGCCCAGGTCTGATTTTGATTGTCGATAAACTTCATCATTCACCAGTTCCTCTCTTCATATTGGAGTGGACTGTCGGGAAAAATATCGGACAATTATCTTTCGAAATAAATTATAATAAAAATATCTATATTGCTGCGCTTTTCAATCAAAGTTGTGCAGTGACAAAATGATCATAATTTATGCGAACTGAAATACTAGTATCCTATACGAACATGGGGGAAAAATAACTAGCCTTCTATGAAAGCAATATCAACGTCATTTAAAATTTGTTCAAAATAAAGTATAAACTGAGTTGTTACGTGTACTTTAATTGTCATGTTCAAACAAACGGAAAAATCCCTAGACAATTCACTGTGTAACATTTAAGTCTAACAATTCGTATGAAAAACGTCAGTCAGCATTCTTGTAATTGAAATGATGATTCAAAACGAGTATGTTTATATTCTTGTTTTGTTAACTTGTTTGTCAATAGCCTTGTTCTAGAAATTGTTTAGACGTAGAAATATGCTCTTGCGTATCGAATCAAACGAGAAACATAAACCCCGTA